GCTGCCTCAACTGTGGAAAAGACAATCTGGTGCTTTGATTTTGCCTCTAACAGGCCCTCCAAATATCCTTCAGCCTGGAATTGCATTTATGTTAATTTCTTGGGTAGGAATTCTCATATTAAGGAGAAGAGAAGAGCATATTAGGTTTCCTAGCCCATTTGAGGGGCTGACTTTGGGTGTCAGTTACTTACAATAATTTTTTCCAAAAGGTAGATTTTGTGGAATTAATAAACTATTATATCAAGTGACTGATCTCTATTGGACATTTAACTAGTGAGTAGAAGAAGAGGAGTGAACATTTTCAAGGAACGAGGATCATTTATGAGAAATAAGGAATTTCAGAGATTGCAAGGACCAAGTGTAATCGTGGTGCATATTCACACAGGGGTCAGATATTGGTGGGTGGAGGGAAGAAGTCCAAGGCATTCAGGACATGACAATTCTTCCCTCAGCCGGACCACAATCTGTTCACATAAATGTCCTTTCATCCAGGGATACGGAGTCAGGCCTATTTTCTGCAGCTCTGGGCCCCTGTGTGAAGGGACGGTAGCAGCAAGCCCACATCATGTGAGGGTGTTGTGGGGAACGGGGGAGTGGAGGAGACGGACAGTGTTGTTATGAGATTGGGATCCATGAACGTGTAAATAAACATTTGAACAAATAATAACTATATCAATGGGAATATAGTCCAGGTTCCTCACTGTTGGAGGATATATTTCCAAGTGCAGAACAGGGAACAGGTAGCAGGAATCTAAGGGTTGGTTTTGAATTGGAGGAATTGTGAATAACTCATAGATCATTACACGTTTGTGTATGTGTATGCACAGATAAATACAGAAGGATGTAGATGTTCGTGTTTCTGTGTATGTGTGCGTCGTATGAAAGCTAGATAATTATGAGCTGTTTTTGCTGAGAGGTCCCAGGAGCAATGACATACTGTTAGGGTTGTGCAAAGCTAATAGCAGATCTTGGTTTTCTAAAGACTGATCTCCACTTGAAGGAATCAAATGGTGATTTGGTGAAACAGTGGATACCAGAGCTGCACCTAGAACAGAACAAGATGAGCCTACGGCAATTCCCTTTGTTAAATTATAGTAGCTTTATTATTCTTTCACTAGTCAAATTGGGACTACAGAGTATGACAACAGACAATGATTGTACCAGAATGCATCCCACTGAATCATATAGGAATTTAGGAGTACATTTGATACGAATAAAAATGAATGAATGAATGGTTTAAAAAATTCATGGAGTGAAAGGAAACCTCTATCTTCAGTAGACTCCTACTCATAAATGTTGAGGGCTGATGTGAGACAACCGTCATATTGTTGGTTGCTTCAGGTGTGAGTTGTGATAAGGGCTAAGGTGGGTTAGTATAGGGGTGATGAGGAAGAGCATAGTAGAACAATCTCAGCATATCTCCCTCATAAAGTACTCAGTTTACAAACACCAAATGGTAAGATGGAGATATCTGGAAGACGCCAACCTGACCAGGTCATCAACGTGAACTGACCACCATTGGAATAGGTAGACACAATGTGTCCCCTGGTGTGAAGCACTGAGAAGAGCGCATCATTGTTCCTTTCTTTTCTTCCAAGCTTTGTTGAGATATTATTGACATACGACATATGTTAGTTAAAGGTGTACAACATGGTGATTTGATATATGTAAATATTGTGAAATAACTACCACAAAAGGTGAACACCTCCATCCCCTCACATACTTATATCTTTGTGTGTACGTGTGGTGATAACATTCAAGACCTACTTTCCTAACAACTTTCAAATATATAATACAGTATTATTAATTATAGTCACCATGCTGTATATTAGATCCCCAGAACCTATTCACTTTATACTTGGAACTGAGTACACTTTGACCAACATCTTCCCAGGTCCCCTAGCCCCCAGCCTCTGGAAAACACTGTTCCACTCTCTGTTTTATGAGCCAGATCTTTTAAGATTCCACATATAATTGAGATCACACTGTATATGTCTTTCTCTGTCTGACTATTTAACTTAATATAACACCTTCAAGGTCCATCTATGTTGTTGCAAAAGCAAGATTTCCTTCTTTTTATGACTAATATTCCGCTGCATATATACACGTTTTCTTTATCCATTCATTCATTGGTAGACTTAGGTTGTTTTCATATCTTTGTTATTGTGAATAATGCTGTAATGAATATGGGGATGTGGTTATCTCTTTTAGGTAGTTATTTCAAGATCGTTCTGCCAAGGAATTGTAAACTGAGTCTGGTCATGAGGAAACGTCAGAGAGGCCCAGGAGATGGTCATTCTATATAACCTATTCTATAGGTCGAGGATATGAAAGGAAAGGAATGACAGAGGAAGAGTTTGAGATTGGAGCAGAAGGAAGAGGACTAACAACTAAATGCAACACGAGTTTGTGGTTGGGATACTCAACCAGAAAAGAAAAGAAGATATTTTGGATCAGTTGGAAAATTTCAACAGGCTCTGGGTCTAGAGAGTAGGGTTGTATCAACATTGATTTTCTAAGTTGAAGGGCAGTATGATGGTTCTGAAGGACAGAGTCTTTGTTGGAGGGAAAATCACACTAGTGAGTTTAGGAGGGCAGGCACCATGTATGCACATTACTCTCAAATGGTTGAGAAAAAAGACTGGGGATAATGAGATAAAATATAGAGAAAATAGCTGATTAATCAAATGTAGTAAAGTGTTAACAGTTAGGGTAACTGGATGAGGGAGAAAGTGAAGTATATTTGAAATTATTTCAAATCAATTATTTTAAAAATAATTCATAGGCATTAAATTCCATAGTTTAAAAAATGAGTTTGTATACTGCTAAATATATTTCTATTGAACATATTTTATTACCTTTTTTCAAATAAAAATAATTTTGTACACTTTAGTAGGAAAAACAGCAAGTAAAATTTAGACATTTTTAGATAAATAAACATCAAAACAATTTACCCAGAGCAATCTTACACTCCTGCAAGTTAAAGGAATTTCTTCATAATGAAGGCAAATTATATTAGAGGAAAACACATGTAAAAAAAGAATTATAAGCAGAAGAAATGGCAATCACATAGATCCATGCATAATCTATACTTTCTTTTCATTTCTTATATTCTACAAGAGACAACTAGCTCATGACAGGAAAAATAATAGCATTAATTGTGAGTAATAACGTACAGAAGAAAAATTTACAAAAACAACAGCACGAAGGATTATAAGATATATGGACATATACTAATGTAAGATTATTATATATTCTATGAAATGGTCAGCAGTAGTTCTAACTAGAATATAATACTTTGGGAACCCATAATAAAATTGCTACAACAATCAATAAAAAATAGTTCTACCTTAGCACTATTAAATTCTTTTCTTTTTTTTTTTTTTTCATGAGGAGATCAGCCCTGTGCTAACATCTGCCAATCCTCCTCTTTTGTTGTCGAGGAAGACTGGCCCTGGGCTAACATCCGTGCCCATCTTCCTCCACCTTACATGGGACGCCGCCACAGCATGCCTTGCCAAACAGTGCGTCGGTGCACGCCCAGGATCCGAACCAGCGAACCCCGGCCACCACAGCGGAGCACACGCGCTTAACCATTTGCGCCACTGGGCCGGCCCCATTTTCTTCTTTTTTTGTTGAGGTCATAATTGTTTATAACATTGTGTAATTTCAGGTGTATATTATTATCAGTTTCTGTATAGACTGCATCATGCTCGCCAACAATAGTCTAATTTTATCCATCACCATACATATGTTGACACTATTAATTTTTAAAGTGGAATATTAAGAATACGAAACTGTCCCAAAAGAAGGCAAAAGGAAAAACAAAGAGAAAAAAGCAGCTAGGACAAAGAGAAAACAAAACCCCCAGTTTCTGTGTTTCAGTGACGAAAACTAAACATTCATGTGACAAATACCAAGATGGCAGCTCTACACCCTCCTTAGTGATGTTATCCATACAATCAATCAAATTTACTGAGGGTCAACCATGTAAAGAAAATTCGAGCATAAAGGGGGAAGCAACCCATTGGGTAATATTTATTTTCTGTGTAACACTAGAACATGTTAGAGAAATATGAGTGAAATAAAGATATAAAATAATGTAGAAAAATACATTTTCCATCTGCCATGTTTCTTATCTTCATCTATGAAATAAAGTCTCCTTCCACTCTGCACTAATATTATCTAGACCAATATTGGATTATGAGCCAACGTATGTCAGGTGTTAGCCATATCCATGTTGAGATAAAATTTGTGGAAACACTTCAAATACTTCTGAACAAAGGAGATTTCTTTCAGACAGCTTCACTGGCTAGTGGGAAAATGGTTTCCACAATACTTTTATGTATCTTTTTTGAGCTGGTAATTTGATGGATTGGCTTTCAGATTTCCCAATGTAGCAGCACTATCAAATTGACCTTCTAAGTTCATAGGATTTTATGTAAAAAATTGGTGCTGAGTACAAATATCAAAAGGTACAAACTTCCAGTTATAAAATAAGTTATGAGGATGAATGTACAACATGGTGAGTATAGTTAATAATGCATTTTAAAATATGTATTGCAGGGGCCAGTCATATGGCCTAGTGGTTAAGTTCAGTGTGCTCTGCTTTGGTGGCCTGGGTTCAGTTCCTGGGTGTGGACCTACACTACTCGTTGGCAGCCATGCTGTGATGGCCACCCACATACAAAAGAGAGGAAGATTTTCACAGATGTTAGCTCAGGGCGAATCTTCCTCAACAACAACAGCAACAAAACATATGTATTACACATTTTAAAGTTGCAAAGAGAGTAAACATTAAGACTTTCTCTTAAGAAAAAAAATTTGTAATTATGTATGGTGATAGATGTTAACTAGATTTATTTTGGTGATCATTTTGCAATATATACAAATATCAAATCATTATGTTGTACCCCTGAAACTAACATAATAGAGCAATTATGGTTATTGTTGAAGCTGTCTTCTATATATTTAGCACTTCAAACATTGTTTCTAACAATTTAAAAGCAGAACCTAGGAGTTCTAGGGTCCCTAAGGATCAGCAGGAAGGGGCTAACAGTGGGAAAACATGAAACCAATATATGAGCAATCTGCATCAGCCATAGACGAAAATCTAAAAAGGCAGTGACATAAAAAGTAAAAATGGAATTCAGCATGTAGAAGATGACAAAAGTGACTACCAGAATCAAGATGGTGTGAGTGGCTCTAATGTCTGGGGGGCATTTGTGGTAGCCATTGGAGGTATGAATATGCTGCACTCTCTGGTGGTGTCTGTGCAAGAGAAGCACCATGGAACCACTGGCCCAGCCCATGAGGCCAATAAACATGGCATCAGGACATGACCACAGGATGACAATGCTTGCACTGGGACTTGAGGATGAACAGAACCACTTCCCTTGAGTCTCAGTGTCATTTCCTATGTCCTGTGGACCAGTGATTTTCAAGGGAATATAGATATTCATTAAGAAATTGAGCATCCAGCAGGTATAACAAGAAGGACCAATGACCTTGGGGGCTCTTCCTCTGAGCAACGTCCACTCCATTCTCCTGGGGAAGAGAGTGAAGAACTGATAGGTGCTCAGGACACAGGTGGAGCACACAGTGGTATTGCGAGCCACCCTTTGTATATAATATACAAGTTTACACCCAAAAGTGGACAGAGGGTTCCTCAAAACAAAAGCTGCCATCATGTGGGGAATCCCAGATGAGAGAAGAACCAAGAGATTGGCCACAGCCATGTGGGTGAGAATCGTGTGTGTGGGTCTCTGCTTGTGGTGAAGCAAGTTTGGATAGACATTATGGAAGAAGAGAATGACATTGGCCACAGTCCCAACCTCCATCTGGAAAAGAAGGATGGCATTCACAGCCACTTCCCCTGTGGTTCTTAGGATATCTTTCTGAAAAGACATGGAGATGGCTTCGGAGTAGCCTGGAGCAAAAGATTATGCCAGTGATGACATCAGCAGTCTTCTTACATAACCAACGTTGGAAAAGATTTTTGTTCTTTCTTCTCCTGAGAAGGGAGATGCTGTCATACTCCACAGGAGGGGCTCAACCTGGAGAACATACACCTGACAATAGTTGTACCTTCCACCGTTATTATTTTGTATTTATTTCTGTTTACTTTTATATTCTGATTCTACACCAGAATGTAAGGTCCATGAACTTAGGATTAATGTCTGTCTCATTGAACAATACAGTTGACAAAGAATAGGTGTTAAATAATATGTGCTGAGTATATGAATAAGTGACAGGAGACAGATAAGAAAACACTGTACCCCCTCTGAATTCATGGTCATCCTGCATACTATAAGAATGTATTGAGTGACGTTACCAAGATAGCAACGTAGGAAGCTCCTGACTTTCCCTCCTCCCATGGATGCACTGAATATACCTATATATGAATCAATTCCCTCTGAGAGAAATCTAGAAACTAGTTGAGTGAGTGTTACACATCAGATGACTGAGAAAATACCCACATTGAAATGGGTAGGAAAGTCAGACCCACACCCTCAACATGATCCCCACCCCTGGCACAGAACCTTACAATCCAGATGAAGCCCCCAACTCCTTGCTTCTCCTTGGGAAGTGAGGGTTTGAACCACACATCTAGCAACCCAATTTTTAAGGCTGCCACTAGAAGAAATGGCCACCAAACCACCTAGCTCTGATAGCCAATGAGGCTTGGCATTCATGATTCCTACAGGACTATAGCAAGTAAAAAGCAGTGATCAAATGGGGCTGCTGGCACTCCCCATGGCTATACCTGCAGGCCCAGTGCAAAGAGAATAGGCAAAAACACTCACTTCCCCGTTTCTTGCTGGAAAGCGCTTTACTACATACTTTACTAGCTTCTGCCCTAAGGTCTGGCTGGTAATCTAGCAGCTGACTTGGATGATCCCAGGATCCTAAAAGAGAAGGTGGGCACTTCCCCCACATTCTGTCTCTGGTTCACTCCAAAAATAAAATCAAGTCTTCAGCTTCTCCCTGGAAGGATCTTGTCCACACATCTATGCCCCAATCTTTGCAGCTTCCATCCAAGGGATGGGCCCTCAGATCACCCAGCCCCAACATCCAGTGGCACTCAGCAGTCAAGAGTCCCACAGGACCATATCAAACAAAAAAAGCAGTTTTCATGGTCACACATAGACTAAAAGTGAAGGGATGGAAAAAGATATTCCATGCAAATGGAAACCAAAAGAAATAGGGGTAGCTATACTTATATCAGACAAAATAGACTTTAAAACAAAAACTGTAAAAAGAGACAAGGTTATTATGTAATGATAAAAGGGTCAATTCATGAAGAGGAGAAAACACATGTAATATTTATAAACCCAACATTGTAGCCCCTACATATATTAAGCAAATATTAACAGATCTCAAGGGAGAAACAGACAGCAATACAATAATAAAAAGGGACAGTAATAGGACACTTTCAGCAGTAGATCAGACAGAAATTCAACAAGGGGTCATTAGATTTAACTACATCTTAGACCAGACAGACCTAGTAGACATACACAGAACATTCCATCCAACAGCAGCAGAATACACATTCTTCTCAAGTGCGCATGGAACATTCTCCAGGATAGATCATGTATTAGGCCACAAAACAAGTCTTAAGATATTTAAGAAGACTGAAGTCATATCAATTATCTGTCTGACCAGAATGGCATGAAACTGGACATTGATTCTAAGGGAAAAACTGGAACATTCACTAATATGTGGAGAATAAACAACACGATCTTGAACAATCAGTGCTTCAAAGAAAAATCAAAAGGGAAATAAAAATATCTTGAGACTAATGAAAATGGAAACACAACATAGCAAAAGTTATGGGATTCAGCAGAAGGTTCTGAGAGGGAAGTTTATAGCAATAAGCACATACATTAACAAAAAAGAAAGATCCCAAATAAACTAACTTTACACCTCAAGGACGAGAAAAAGAATAACAAACTAAGCCCAATGTTAGCAGAAGGAAGGCAATAACAACGATCAGAGTGAAAATAAGTGAAATAGAGAATAGGAAGACAATAGAAAAGATCAATGAAACTAAAAGCTGTTTTTTTGAAAAGATAAACTAAGTTGAAAAGACTTTAGCTGGACTAAGAAAAAAAAGGCAGAAGACTCAATTAAATAAAATCAGAAATGAAAGAGGAGACATGACAAATGATAACGCAGAAACATTAAGGGTCATAATAAACTAGTTTGAACAATTATACACCAACAAATTAGATTACCTAGAAATATTGGATAAATTCCTAGAAACATAAGACCTACCAAGACTGAATCATGAAGAAAAAGAAAATCTGAACTCCTCAATTACTAGTAAGGAGATTGGATCAGTAATCAAAAATCTCCTGACATGAAATGTCCAAGACTAGACGGCTTCCCTGGTGAATTCTACCAAACATTCAAAGAAGAATTAATATCAATCCTCAAACTCTTCCAAGAATTGAAAAGTAAATGTCTCTGTTTGTAGATGTCGTGTCTTATAGATAGAAAATTCTAGACACTCCACCAAAAAACTGTTTGAACCAATAAACAAGTTCAGTTAACATGCAGGATACAAAATCAATACACAAAAATCAGTTGTACTTCTATATAGTAACAATGAACTACTGCAAAGAGAAATTTAGAAAACAATCCTTTCAAATCAAAAAGAATAAATTACTTAGGAATACATTTAACCAAGGTGGAGAAAATTCTGTCCAGTGAACTCTTTAAGACATTGATGAAAGAAATTGAAGAAGACACAAACACATGGAAAATATTTCATCTACATGGATCAAAACAATTACTATTGTTAAAATGTCCATACTACATAAAGTGATCTACAGAATCAATGTAATACCTATCAAAATTCCAATGGAATTATTCACAGAAATAGAAAAAACAATCCTAAAATTTGTATGGAACCACAGAAGACCCTGGAAAGTGAAAGCAATATTCAGAAAAAAACAATAAAGCTGAAGGCATCGCACTTCTGGATTTCAAATTATATTACAAAGTTATAGTAACCAAAAGAGTGTGGTATTGACATAAAAAACAGACACATAGACCAATGGAACAGAAGAGAGCATACAAATACTCCCATGCATCTAGGGTCAATTAATTTTTGATAATGCACCAAAAATACACAACAAGGATGGGATAGTCTCTACAACAAACAATGTATGGAAAACTGGATATCCACATGCAAACAAGTGAAATTGAACTCCTATCTTACCCCATACATACAAATAAACAGATTAAAGACTTGAATGTAAGTCTTGAAAATGTAAAACTCTGAGAAGAAAACATAGCGGGTAAGCTCCTTCGCATCTATCTTGGAGAAGATTTCTTGGATATGATACCAAAAGCAAACTAGACTTTTTGTGGTGATCAATTTATAATGTACATAAATATCAAATCACTATGATGCACAGCTGTAAATAATAGGATATTATATGTCAATTATGCTTCAATTTTAAAAAAAGCAACAAAGCCAAAAAAATAAGTGGGACTACATCAAACTAAAAGGTTCTCCACAGCAAAGGAAACCACCAGCAAAATGAAAAGGCAAACTATGGAATAGGAAAAATATTTGCAAATCACATATCTGATAAGATAATAATATCCAAAATATACAAAGAACTCATATAAGTCAATAGCAAAATAGCAAATAACTCAATTTAAAAATGGGCAAAGGACCTGAATAGACGTTTTTCCAAGTAAGACATACAAATGGCCAACAGGTACATGAAATGTGCTCAACATCACTAATCACCACGGATATGCAAATCAAAACCACAATGAGCTATCACCTCATGCCTGTTAGAGTGGCTGTTATCAAAAAGCCAAGAGATAACTGCTTACACACTGTTGGTGGGAATGTAAACTGGTGCAGCCACTACGGAAAACAGTATGGATGTTCCCTGAGGAATTGAAAATAAAACTACCAAGTGATCCAGTATTTTTTTTTGTATATATCTAAAGGAAATGAAATCATTAACTCGAGGAGATATCTGCACTCCCATGTTCGTTGCTGCGTTATTCACAACAGCTAAAGTATGAAAACGATATAAGTGTCTGTTGATGGATGAATGGATCAAGAAAATGTGGTGTATATATACACTGGAATATTATTCAGACTTAAAAATAAAGGAAATCTTGCCATTTGCAACAACATGGATGAACTTGAAGGGAATTATGCTAAGTGAAATTAGCCAGACAGAGAAAGATAAATACTGTATGCTATCACTTACTTGTGGAATCTTAAAAAACAATTCAAACTCATAGAAACAGAGGGTAGAATGGGGGTTGCCTGAGGATCGGGGAAAGGGGAAACGGTGGTCAAAGGGTACAAACTTGTTGTTATGTGATGAATGAGCTCAGAGGATCTAATGTACAGCATGGTGACTACAGTCGATCACACTGTACCGACTAATTGAAATTTGCTAAGAGAGTAGAACTTAAGTGTTCTCACCAAAAAAAAAGGTAAATATGTGAGTTGATGGATGTGTTAATTAACTCAATTGTGGTAATTCTTTCACAATGTGTACATATATCAAATCATCATGTTGTACACTTTAAATATATTCCAATTTTATTAGTTATACCTCAACAAAGATGGAAAAAGAATGTATTAACTTACCAAAATGTAAAAATATTGTTGAAATTATAAGCTTATCTAACTAATTTTAGTACAATTGCTAGAGAATCAGTTGTCCACAGTTGAGAACTCATATAGTAATTCATCAGAGTTGCTGGATACAAAATACTTTTTAAAAAATCTGCCACCATCTGAATACACAAGTTGACTGCACAATGTACTGAGATCTTCTATTCTTTATAGAAAAGATCCTCAGTGGGAAAAGTAGTCTAATTCTCAACAATTCCCCAGATCTTAACTTATGAGGCTTTGAGGTCA